AAGATCATATACAGTTGTGAATCTCCACAGAAATAAAACCAACCCTCTAATAAACAAATGAAAAAAACACAGTCAGTGAAGTAAGCTGAAATCATCACCTCAGTGCTTCTGGAATGGGGAAAGGCTGTCCCTTCATGTCACATAAACCCTTAATTAATTGTAGGCTATCAACAGCCAGGGGACTTTCTTCTCAGAACCCTAGCCAAGCCCAGTTACTGATATAGAGTCCCCAAATAAAAGAGTAAATCCTGCTCAAGAAAGCCAAGTAGTTTTTCAACACTGTTTGGTAATGGAGCATACCTAGTGCATTTGTATTCCCACACAAGAGAAGAAGGGTTGGCGGTATGTGGGCCCTACTTGAGCTGATTTATTCCATCTGCACCAACATACTCCCTGTATTAGAAAACTCTAGCACGACTTAAATATAACAATATTTTTCATCCACCATTATCTGCAGCTTTGCCAGAAAATCAACAATAAATGAATTCTGAAAAGACATACTTCAAAATGTCCCACAAATGAAGAGCTTTAGATTGCCGTAGGGTGCCAGTGGAAGCAAGAAAACAACTGTGTGAAAAGCAAACAATTTTTCTCTTAGAATGATATGAATTTTCTGAAAACCTTCAGAATTATATCCACTAAGAAGTTTCCTCTTAGCACAGAAAACACCTAATGAAAAAACCCCAAGATATCTAGAAAGCATGGTATGATGCACAAGGACAGCTGCTGTTTTGTTTCTGCTCATATTTATGTGCACAATAAAAGCACAATTTAAACCCAAATATCTAATATAAACTGAATAGGAATTTGTCATGAAGCCAATTAAAAGCATGATTTTAAAACCCAGTGCTAAGCTTTTTAGGGTAGACAGTGGAAGACCTTGCATGTAGAAGTAATTTAAATCTAAATCACAGTAACTGTAGGAAGCCCTGCCTTTGCCCTCCACCTACCATACCAAGACTTTCCCACAGGGGAGAACAACAAATAGCAAATAAGTTTTGATTGCTTGGGAAAGCTGGGCAAGCAAAGTAACTTCTTAATTACATTATTTATAATCATTAAAGTCTGCTTCTTTTGATACTGTGTAATTATGGTACATCCCAAAGTTATAAGACGCCTCTTTTCAATTTGCTCCCTAGTAGAAAGAAATGCTGTAAGGGATGTTTCTCCAGAAACTGGTGGTGTGCTAGCAAGTAGAAATTTACAGATGGTTAGAAGATATACATCAGCACCTGTATTTCCCAAGCTCACAAGAAAAAGTGGGTATTAATTCAGGAATGTCCTGCCCATAAATCTCAATTTTAAAATCTGAAAACAGAACTCTAAATAATAAAACAGATCACTAAGAGGTCACTTCAGCAATTTGTAGTTTAAACATTAAGAAAATTTGATTTGTTACATAGACTGAGCACTATTGTAACTTCAAAAGAAAGCTCTTTGACATAGTGTGTATGGAGATACTATTGCTTTGTTTTCAGAGACATAAAAAAAATCATGTTAGCCTATAATATTTTATACCATATATGAATTACAAAGCTGCAGTATATATAATTTCAACTGCAGTATGCAAAATTCAGCATGAAAAGATTAGAATATTAGAATGGATAATTATTTCAGAACTTTTTTCCAATGCAAGTTTTCTTCTTCTGTTGGGTTTTGGTGGTTTTTTTCTTTTTTTTTTTCCCCTACAAACTGGAAATAACTATATTTCTAAGTCTAAACTTTCTGAATAGTCACAGTGTGATTTTACACATCAATTTGGTTTTAAGATAAAGAGTAAACTTCCCCCTTCCAAAAGAATTTTCTTTTATGTGAAATGCATAGAATGCATGCATAGAAGAAAGATGTAAGATATGGGGTTATATATTTGTTGAAGTTGTTAAGGCTTATGCTCACCAGAAGGCCCTGTGGGAAGGCACAGCTGCAGGCTGGAGGTTGGAACTTGGTTTGGGGGGTGAGAGGTGGCTATGAGTCATGGACAGCAGCACTGCAGCTGAGCCAGCCAATGTGTGCCCTTCCTCTGGTAAATTCTGGTTCTGTCTGGTTGAGATTACAGGTATAAAAGGGAGTGATTTCTGCAATAAAGTGATCTCCTTTGCTACAGTAAGATTTTACAGAACTTTTCTGTAATATGTTTTATTTTCTCTTTTGACAGTTGTTTTATGCAGAGTGCAGATGTTTGCCACATAACCATGAATGTTGGCTGACCTGCCCAAATCTCAATAAAAAGCAGTTGTAACAAAGACTTTCTGCAAACGGTTATGCAAACAGAAATCTTCATCTCATGTATATGAAATATACCCTCTGTAATACATTCAAAAGCACTTTTGGGGGAAAAAAAAAAAAAAAGGCTCAGAAGTGTATGTGCTGAAATCGCAGCTAAATGCTTACTATCATTATTATTATTATTATCAGTGGATAAGGGGTATAGATTATAGCCAAAACAGTATTAACAGCTAAATCAAGATGTAGATTATTCTTTCAGAGTTCAAATTACATTGCCAACCCAATCCTCTCCCCACTTCAGCCCCGCCCCCCAAAAAATAGGAAAGCAGTGTTTGTCTACTCTTCTCCTTACATTACCATGTATTGCAATGCTGGGGTAAAAAAAAAAAAAAAAGACACTTAAGTGTCTTAAGTGTCAGCTGCCCAGAACGGCAGCAAAAGACAAAGGAAAGCTGTGGTAGGAGATCACCAGACAGCCATTGCTCTCATAGAGACACCATCCCAGCCCATGCAATGTGCAATTTATCATCCTTCTCCTAACTCTGTCCTCTCTGACAATGAAGTGGGCTAGATCCCTCTCTGCTAGACCCTGAAAGTGAGCACACTCTGCTTCCCTGAAGATCTAAATGCAGAATTCCAGTTTATCTTTAAATACTCACATTATAGCTATTACAGCTAGAAGGGGCTGGAAAGTGACTGAAGCCAACTGCCATCACAATCAGATCCCTGTTTTCTTGGGAAAATGCAATCTCACTAGGGAGAGATATGAGAAGGCAATTGGCCATCTCCTCACTCCATTGTTTTACAAGAATTTATGGGTGGGGTTGAATCTGTTTTTGGAAGAGACATGATATTTTCCTTCCAGGGGAAAAAAAACCTAACAAAACCACAAATCACCCCACATCAATTGCTGAAAGCTTCCAGATTCCTGATGACCTCTGTACCTCCTAAATGGAGATAAATTTCCAGAGAACTCAAGGCCAAGAATAAGGCTTGTAATTTACCCAATTGTCTTTTTGTTTGTCTGTGCATACAAACGTAATTAAGGGGTGGCCAAAAGTTCCAGTGAATCCCTTCTAAGGTGGCCCACACAATATCGCCCTGATAACCTCCCTTTATTTTGTTTTCATTGTATGAATGAGATCATGTTTATTTACATCTTGCAAAATGTATCCAAGGTCTGACTTAGAACTTTTTCAATGCCTTTAGATGGCTATAAAATCAGTTTCAAGTTCCAGAACTTCAACAACATGTATTTTGATGGTATTAGGCTTTACATATTAATTTAATGTTAAAAAGACATCAAAAATTTGCAACACCTGAGGTACTGATAAATGCCCATTGTAAAATGAACCTATGATGATTGGATCTCAATGTATTAATAATTATTACCCTATTAAAACACGGAATTATCAATTTTGCACAGTAAATTATGGGATTATGCTATTCATAATTAAACAGTACCATAGTAACTTTTTTTAAAATCTTGACTAAGTACCTTCACAGTGCCTTCAAAGAAGCACACTACTGGCAAAAATGCCATTAGTTTATTTCTAAATTTTCATGATTAAAGCTACTATGTATGTATGCATGCTGCAGGAAAAAAAATTAACTGCAAAAGTACACAGCTTGAGTGCTATGTCATGTCAGAAATACATGGTAGGTGTTTGGAAATCCAATACAATTGTTTCTTTCATCATTATTGAACTCACTTTTTGTAATTTAAAATGAATGCCAGACAAGAACTATTGTTCCAGCATCTCAGAAGAATGTAACTCAATTGTGAGCCAAATATAAGTTCTCTTTTCTGTCAAGTTGTCATGCTTATAATCAGACCTCCATGGGCAATTTTCACTTTTCCTAACAAGTAAATGGCCAGATAGTGCAGCTGAGTAAGAAGTTTAGGGGTACTGAAAATATACATGGCTCATATACATGTAAGTAGATGTTAATTATCAATGTACAAAGATTATTTCAGCAATTTTTATCCCAGAGAAAATTCAAATTTGAACACTCAAAATATTCTGGTTCATGGCCAAAGATAAACCTTCTGTGCTTTACACAGCACATGTATGTAATACACCTGGTTCTAAACAAGGTACTGCCTCCTCCTTCCAGTAATTGTTACCATTCATTATAAAAGATGCTATTTTGGGAAAATAAGGACATAATTTAAAAACAGGATTTGTAGATAAAGCTTTTCTAGAAGTTCCTTTTTATTTTCACCCCAGGAGGAAAAATTGGTAAAGAAAACAAACAGCTTTCTCTTTCTAGGTAGGAAGATAAAATAAATACCCTAGAAATTAAACTCTTCAAAATTTGTGTGATTTTCTCCATGATGTTGCATCCCTATACATGATTTCTGATGGACTGAAATTCAATTTACCTAAACTACTGTTTAGGTAAAGCAAGGGAAGGGATCTTACATGATACTCCTTCAGGTGTCAGCCTAATAAGTTACCTCTTGGCAAATTCTGGTGTGTTGTCCTTACATCAGTTCCCAGTTGTTTCCAGCCAAGCGGTACATCGATCTTCCCTCTCTGCCAAACACCAGTGGCTTCCATAAAATGAGTCCACATTTTGAACACATTCCTCTGGCACATTTCCAGGAATATTGAGAGCCTAATGACCAACCTAACATGAATAAAACTTAAATTTCTCTCTTAAAAAACACAAGTAGTGCTGAAACCGTATGTCAGATGCTGCAATGCTTTTGTTGCTGGCATAATTTAGAATTTAAAATATGATAAGGGGAAAAAAAAAGACAAGAGAAGTTTGGAGTGCAAATATTCTTTGGTTTACTCATTAAAACAAAAGGACACAGCAAACAGCAAAAACACTGGCAATTAAATAAACAGCAAATTCTTTATATGCTTCCTAACAAAAAGTCTTTGGCTGTTTGAAATGTATTAACTTCATGCTTTTAAGTACATTACAGTGTCTAGAAAGTCACATTTTTTATCCCCAATGTCAAGGCAGAGAGAAGATGAGGAAAAAAAAGGATAAAAGGTAGGAAGTAAGAAAAGAAGAAAAATTCTTTAAAATTCCATTTTTCCATTAGTTAAATAGTATATAACACAATGATAACACTAATTTCTGCTTCTACTTTCATTGTACACAAGGAAAATTGGCTTGCAATTTATTTATCAACTTTGGTGAATTCACATCAGACTAGAGTATCGAATATACTGACTCACATCTTTTTGAAAAGAATTGCCACCCTTCCAACACCAATGACTGATTCTATGATTCTACTAGCAGAATTCTAAATATCTTAAGGAATTGCACAGAGAAGTCACTGTGTTTTATGTTATCATAGTCAGAGTTAAAATTCTGTACCACAAGCAGTTTCTTGGGAATTCTCTTCCCCAGTCCAGCTATTTTCCTGTAGCTTATTCCTCAAATAATCCCCATGTAGTCAAAGGAAGCAAGCACCTGTGCAGGTCTATAAGGATCTCTACTTGGGAGATCCTGCCTTGCAGACAGGAAGTGTTCACCTCTGAGCTGGAGATGCACAAGGCTGCTGTTAAGACTCTATGTGACAACATCACTGATTTTATTTAAAACTCAATGCTCCATAATGGCAACACTAGGAAGCGGTTATCTGTGCAGAGAGCATAAAAGACTATAACTGAATCAAATATGTCTATTTTACAAGTAAATGAAAGAAATTACAGAGTGTACCATCACCACGATAGCCTGTTACCAACACTACTGGATTCTGATAGTTTAGAATTAATTCTGTTAATCTGTGAAAGATGCGGATTGTCTGACAGCATATTGTTTTGGTTTGTATATCTATCTTGCAAGACTCTTACTCTACTTGAGCCATTTTGTTTGATTGTCTTTATCAAGCTGTTTCCATAGGCAAAGCACAGTAAAAAAAGTCATGTGCAGTTTTTCTTCCAGATGGACTGTGAATAGCAACAGATAGCGCATAGTAAGAAATCAATTAATAAAGATATTTAGGAAAGATTCGTCATAATGTAAAAAAACCTCTTTGCATGCTCCCTTATTCCTTCATAAATCAACAGTGTTCCATCTACAAATAACTCACAGGCAGTCAGCTCTAATACAAGTACTTATATGTTCCCCTCATCTAGCATTTTGTTGACCCCATCACAAAGTTTCTGCAAATGGATTTTATAAGGTCCAAAGGGATTGTACAAGGCAGCCAGGAATTCACAATCAGAGAAGTGATCAAACACATTGTTGACGCGTCCGTGTGACTTCGCAGTTAGGTGACGCTGAATGATTTCATGAAGCAGCTCTCTACATTCATTTAACAGTTTGGACAAAAAGTTCCTGTCAAAGGTATAATCCACCTGATGGAAACTGACCACGGTCTTAGCCAGCTGATGAACCTTCTTCTTGAATTTCTCCATCAGGGCTAGTTCATCCTGATTAAATTGGTTGTTCCTGTAGAGAATTGCCAATTTGAGGACTATTTTAATGAGGTTTTTGATGATCTTCTCTGCTTCTTTTTTATTTTGTGTATATTCCCTTGTAACTCTGTAGAGCTCATCTAAAACATCACTGCTTGTATCATCGATCAGAGTAGTTGCTATTGATTTGGACACCATTTTTCCAAGGATCTTCTTCTGGGCCTGAATGGCCAGACTTTTGGAGTTGAAGACATCTGTGGCCACTAGGGGAAGAAAAAAGTCAGCAGTCAATACCTTCCAAACAGACAATCTCTGGACAGCAAGCTGAGGAATATTTCTATATTTATATATTCACGATAGTCTTACTAAATGTCACAAAAATAATGCAATGTAGTTGGAGAAAAACCCATATTTTAAATCCCTCAAACGCTCTTCTCTTTAGATTTACATTCTTTCAGACTGTTTTACTTTTGAGAAAATACCAACCAAACTTGCTCAGAAATGGTTTAGAAGATCTCTCTATATACGGATTGATGGAATTTCAAACTGAGGCAATAAAACTGCCTTATTTGACTAGAGGAGTCATAAATATAATCTGATTCTTGCATTCTTTATGAAATCTGACACCAGGATTATTCCAATGTCAAATAATCACTGCTACTCAAATAAAGATGATAATTCATCTTTATCATCTTTATCACGAAGCGACCATTACAAAGCCTTTTCCTGCTTAGCATTTTACATGATCAGTGAATGCAGATACCACACCTTTTTTTCTTTTTTTTTTTAGATATCTATTTTATACATATCTATAGATATCCATGCAGAAATATAAAAGGAAGACAAAAATCCATGGCCAGGAAACAACACAGAGGTATTCTCTGGATGAAATCTGAAGACACTAGTTTTCAGAAGAAAAGCAAGTACCGATTAACATTTCTACGTCCTATACTTTAAGCAGTAAAAGCAAGACATTTACTTTCTAGGGAGCTTAATTGTGAGCATTACCTTTTAAAATTATCTTTCTGTGGTCAATGAAGTAGACCTAGACCATATTTCCACCTCTAAAACTATGTCTGATTGCACTAATACGCCCAATGACTGTACTTTTGTCCCTGAACAATGACTGTATTTTTGTTCAGACACTTAAAAGACCCCAAACAGTCCTTCAGAAACTTGACTTGTGAAATGTTATCACATGTTCTAACTTTTAAAACACATTTCCTTGGTAGCACTCTCTCCATTAAGACACACATGAGTTGGTATTTTCAGGTAGAATTTAGGTAGAATTTCCTGGGAAATGGCTGCCTTTGTGCTGCAGCTCTCCTGGAGTCTCAGACGGGTGAAGGAAGATGACATCTGCTTACATTTACTATACATATGAAAGATTTGCTTAGCAAACGCAGGGACTGGAAATATTTTCTTTTTTTTTTTTTTTTTTTTCTTTTAATGAAAACATCAACTCAGCAGATGTCAGACAGTAAGTCCCTGAATTTGGAAAAGGTTTCCTCTTAACTGCTGGTATGTGGGCAGCTGGGTGTGTTCAGATTCAGGGTGCCTCAGGGGCTCCAGCAAATAGAAGAAACTTGTCCTTCAGGACATGAAACACAAATCTGTACTCTTAATTCAAGAGTGTCTTTGAGAAACTTAATAACAAGCTCCTTTTTTATCATCCCATAAACCTTCAAGCAGGTTTGTTTGTTAAAAGTTACAGTGCATAGCAGTATTTTGTTTTGAAGCCTGAAGTGTCTGAGCACATTTTCAAAAATCTTTACTACAAGAGGATACTCAAAAACCAAAGAACCCCTTGTTAACTATCTTGGGCAAAGCGCTCAAGATCACAAGACAGACACAGTTCTCAACCACAAAGATAAAGAAAACATTAAAGATGCTGAGCAGTCATTTTGAACTGAAAAATATTTGATTTGCTTTCTGTGTTTTTAAAGCTAAAATTGCAATGTTTACTATTAAAGTAAAACTAATTCAAGTTTTCCAAAAGGTGGTCAAATGTCAGAACTCAACAGCCAATGCTTTACAAAGATCTACCAATGAATGATAACTTTCTTTCCCTTCCAAAACAGGAATATCAATTGTTATTTCATAACTTTTATTACTAAAAGTCTTCTTATTAATGCTCACAATGTCTTCTTTTTGACACTCCACACAGAAATAGATGTTCCTACTAATAACAGTTAGTGTTGTGATGTTACCTTCCAAAATTTGCAGAGAAAAATTTACATGATACAATATATCTGTATTTTTAAGCATTCCTTCCCAGGAAGCTGTAGGCATTCTTATAAAATAATATCTCCACTGTAATTCCAGCGTGAACAATTCTATATTTCTAAATCCACAAAACTTGCCTCCAGAAAGTCATGCACACATCAGGTATAGTTTTAATATTATATCCTGCAAATTAGCAATTAAGAGAAACTGAAAATGTGGCAGTATGCAAATTTTTTACAGTTTTTCAACAAAAAAACCCTTTTATATTACATAATTTTACATTTTACAAAGTACAGCTCAACATGTAGTTACCTTTGCTAACCAAAACAGGAATTGCTCCATTCCAAAAGCTGCTGAACTCTTACTGGTATTTTTCTACTAACTGCCCAAGCTTTGTGGGTATCCAGCATAGCTTACTTTCTATCTACTTTGCTACAAGTACACCAGAATTTAGCTTCATTTTCCCTGTGCTGTTACATGGGTTCTAATTTAATTGCTAAGTATGTATATTTCATACTTCAGCATTTCAGCCAATCCAAAAAAGGAACTTGCTAACTCTTTGTAGTTTATAATCAGAATTTTTTCTCCTTACCAATGACTGAGAAACTTAAAATGTGTTTCATGGCTTGAATAAAACCCTAAGCAGCAGGATTATAGAGCTTCTTCAGAATGAATGCACATACTTCCTCAAATAACAGTAAAACCATTACTTACTTGCTCATCTAATACAATTGCAGTTTTTATTGCTGACAGCAGAAAGAGAAGCAAAATACCCAAGGTGAAGACTGGCCTGTGGCGTATTTACTCTGGTAAATCCAGTGCACCCTTTATCTCGTGCTTTGAAACATTGTCAGAAGCAGTCACAGAGCAAATACGGGTTTTTCCTCCTCGCTCTAAGGGCAGCTCTTCTCAGCTACCTTTCTCTCCTGCCTGAAGTGCTTGATTTTGCCTTGGCACCTCAAAATGCAAAAACACATCTCAGTGGTTTCACTTCCCCGAAGAGAGAGCTGAAAGGAAATTGCAGCGCTGAGCAAGCGCTGCAACACTGAGGGCTGCTCCTGCCAGCTGGAGCAATTCACAGACAGGGAGGGAGAAGAAAGGTCCTGTGACTCGAGAGGACAGGTGATGTGTCAAGGAGAGGTTAAAACACTAACCTGGTGTCTGCAAGTGGAGATGCTCAGTGAATCAGAGGTGCCTGACTCAGCGCTCCCAGCTGAGGGCTGCCGGGCACCCTCTGTCAAACCTCTGACGGCAATGTCAGACATGAGCACCTGAAAGTGCACCTCTGTACAACTGCTTAGGGATGACTGTATGCAGCCACCTTCTGAAAGTCATTACAGTAGCTGGTCTGGATGTCTGGCCACACCTTTTGTGTTGACAGGCTACACCCTTGCACTTTAAACTGAAATAGTGTCATTAGTGACCTGCGGGTAATCCCACTAATTTTAAGCATCTCACAGTTTGGTTTACCTCATGACTGCTCTTTAGAGATCCAATTTCTTTCCTCTGCAGTTTTATACTTTACTTTTTAAAAGGTTGTCATCAAAAAATACCCCTTTGAAATCAATGGGATGTCATTTTCTGCACAAACTACACAAATAAGAATGATTATGTACAGCAAAGCCATGCCTCCAGAGAGGAAAGTAGCTCAAGAGGAAAGGCTCTCAGACGAAATCTTGCTTCTATTGCTTTGAAATTCACAGGATCAATCTTGGGAATAATGCAGACATCTGCAAAATCTCCTAATTTATTATTTAAATGAGCAAACAAGGTGCTAGAGACAGCCTCCTGTGAAAGCTGTGAGCTTAGTGATTATGAAACTTTTTGATTTTCATAGCCAAGCACACAGTATATGTGTTTAACGTGGTATTTTGTGTATTAAAATGAATAAATACTGGACATGTAGAATTCTGGATGTGTTTTTCTCCAAATATTTTACCATATATAGAGGTTTTCCTTAGACTGCGATGGAAGTGTAAACTTTCAGTGAAAATTTAAAATTGTGGTTAATAGATTCCCAGGAGACTCCTATAAAAGTACAAGGCTGCAATGCTGACTTTTCCCTCACATGGAAGCTAGCATACCTCCCTCTGTACTGTGGCAAATTACTATTACACTATTATCACATACCCTACGTCTCAGATTTATTAAAAAAAACAAAACAAAAAACACAAAAAAGAAAACAAAAAGGTAGTACTTGGAAAAAAACACAACTTTTTTTTTTCCACAAGACAATAGTCTGCAGTAGATTCAACATCACTTGCAGCTGAGTGTACGCAATCTCATGTACATTGACAACGAATACTTGAGTCACAGAGTATTTTTAAACTTCTCATAGTGAAGGACCAGAAAAATAAAAAAAGCATCTGGCAAAAAATAACAGTGAACCATCATAAATTCCATGGTCAAGTCAAAAGCTGAGCTTTCTGAGCCTCGCTGTGTTGATAGAACAGTCCCTAAGGAAGAGAAAATATGACTGTGAAACACTGCTCCAGTTCTCATTTTAGTGACTGGCACATCACGTGCTGCACAAGCAAGACCCAAAAATGATGAGGGTTTTTGGGAACAAAAACACTGACATGGGCTTGAGAGGAAAGAGACAGCACTGACTGAGGGCTTCAGGCAGCATTTAAAAGACACAGCCTTGAGAAATATGGGAATGGACGTCCTGCCGGGAATCCTGTGTGTGTTTGCCTCTCTGCAGACTGTGTGAGAGCTACAGCTAAAAGCCTGCACATGCCATACAAATTGCATGTTCAGTCAGACTCCTGTAGTGAAAGAGCATCATTTCCCTGGAGGGAGGCAACTTGAAATCAAGTGGAATTAGCTTTATGCTCTCTGAGTGTATGTGACTATGAGTCATGCACCTCCAAAATCATGAGATTGCCTAGATATGAAGGGATAAAAGAATTACTGAATTTTTAATCTTTTTTTGCCTTCTGCTTTCTGGGTCTTCACAGGTCTATTCTTGTTTTCAGGAATGATACAGGCCAGAAATGTAAAAAAAATAAAACAAAACAAAACACAGAAGCATATT